TTGCATCACATGTATGTATGATCGACCAACCACAGAAACGTATGCAACTTAACATTTACGTGCAGGGGAGGTAAAATGTGATGTTTAATTAACGAGATGACCAGAGAACAATTAGGAAGTTACTTTTATGAGGTTAAACTGTCAAGTTCAAAAACTAAGGGGGCAAAAAAGGAAGAAATAAAATTAACGTAGCTCCGCAGTCCGCACTGTTGATGTGAATTATGATATACCCTTTCCGACGTACAAAGCGTTTGATATAATTAATTAATTTATATAGCATTAATTTATATTTTTATTGTTACATTATTTATGATAATTCATTTTTTAAATGAATATTACTTTTTTTTGAATTGATTAAAAAATTAAAATAAATTTAGGTTAATTACGGCTAGATTCTGTATTTTTAGTAAATAATACAGCTAGATTCTCTGTGTTTATTAAATAAATACAGGTGGATTCAATGTGTTACGTGAATTTTATAAGTTTTTTAATATTAATTTTAAAAATTAAAATCCATAAAAAAGGAAGATAATCTAAGGTTTTTTTGTTTGTTATTTAAATCAAGTAAATCAGTATTTAAGAGGTGATGATATTTTAATGAATAATAATATATATAAATAATATATTATTCTTATACAATATTTTTTATACAATATTATATGGTAAGATATAATTGGATAAAAGTTTAATTTTAACTTTAAATTAATCAATTATATCTTACTAAATAAAGTTATATAATTGGATAAAAGTTTAATTTTAACTTTAAATTAATTAATTATATTTTACTAAATAAAGTTATATGGAAAATATTGTATAAAAATTATGTAGGTATAATATTATTATTTTAATACAATACATTGGGCCACACGTGATACAGATCCAACGCACAGGATTTGTCGTCTTTCCGTCACTACGTAGAAATCCATAGAAGCCTGCAACATCATGATTCATGACAAAGTTCCGAAAGAAAAAAATCAATTATTGGTACCAGATGGCATCATGCCATCATCTGATTCAACCACTTGATNTTTCCTATTTTTTCTAACACTAATTATTACAAAAAATTATTTGTTTTTCTCTTTATAAAATAACTCATATAATATCAGAATATTAGTCTATTTTATTGATGATTGACTTAAATTTCGTCCAAACAAAATCACATGTAAGAGAAGGAAAACTTCATCAAAATGGCCCACCTCTCATTTAATATTTTGAAAAAAAAATAAATTTAAATTTATAGTCAAACAGGTATGATACATTATTCATAAAATTATTTATCATGTATAAGAATTTATATCAACCAGGTATAATATACTATTCAATTATGTACATATCAATGTACAAGAATTTATATCAATATGATAATTTAACGTAAATTAGTTCATACATCTTACACTATACAAAAAGATACGGTAATTTAATATAGTCTATTTCATATATCTTACACTGAATAGATATGATGATTTTTTTTTTTTTTTTTGGCAAGGGGTTGTTTGATATTTTAATAATTTTTTTTTATATTCTTTAGGGGTATTTTTTTATAATTATAAAAGGGATGTTTTCTAAACAAAGTTGATGAATTTAATACTTAATGATTTACTAAAGAAAAACGAAATAAACCCACATGTATAATATACATAAAAGAAGTGTTTTAATACTCGACCGTTTGAATTGGGGCTTGGGGCCTTTGTCGAGCGGGTTATCACTTTCAACTATTCACCCTAAACCCCAAAATTATGGATGACTATCAGCGAGCATACGACAATTATGTTGGGGCTTTTAGAGAGGAAGTGCCGGTGAGTCCAAAGCTGGTAAAGGGATTGATTTTCGCTGAGTGAACCGATCGAGAAAGGCAAAAATCAATATGCCAAAACAGTGACCTGTTGCCAACTGGCAGAGTGAACAAGGGGAGGGTGAGATGGGTTTTGGTTAGGAAGCTGAAGGGAGTGTTTTTGTGGTGATGGGGAATGTTGTTGTCATGAGAAACATGCCCTATTTGGCTTGGGTTGTTGACATCAATGGTGGTGTTCGGGGTGTTTTTACAAGATTTCAAACCTATATAGACTTATATGTAATTTTTAGAGGTATTTCTGTTGAATTTCAAACCCTTAGACACCAATTTGATCTGTTGGTCAAACTGGTTCAATTGATCAACCTAGGACCTGACCACTTTGCTGCGTTTTACTTCGGATTGGTTATTAAAACATTGCGTAAAAGATTGTAAGATTATTAGTGAATGAGTGTGAAACTTCAAAGTAATATTCTAGAGTTTAATAATAATTAAGTTGAATTTCAAAATTTCTACCAAGTTTTTCCTCCATTCACACAACACAAAACTAATATGTAATTGACCCATAGTTGACTCCTTTTGGAATTTAGAATTTAGTGGATTTTGAACAACTCGTAGTTGTGACGTGCAGAATAGTTTATAAACTAAGATGGATCATGACAGACACGAGAATTAATTAATTAATTATCATTAAATTAAACTAATCTTGGCGTCCATACCAAGGTCGTTAATTAACTTTATTATATATTCTTTAATATATAGTTTTTCCTTTTAGTAGTATATATCTTGTTTTGATTATATATAATATATAACATAAGATGATTTAATCAAGTGTATTACTTGGTGACAATTGTTATGCAAATTCGAATGTAATTTCTTGGAAGAAAGATGCTAGCTAGTTGACAAAATTAAGTTTATAGTAACTTCATTTATGTAAATGCCAAACGATTGAGTTCTTTTGTATAAATTAATATCTATTTAACTAAAGTAACTAAATAAAAACTTATTTATTGGTATAAATTTATGAATAAATCTCCCTACATATTGTCGTGTTGATATTTTTGTTTTTTAAATTCAAGATTTATATCATTGATGACAAAAACACACAATTTTTTTTTTTTTTTTTTTAACAATTCTTATGAGAGATAAGTAGCAAATTTTTTCTCATAATGTTTGGCATAAAAAATGGATATTTGGATTTTAAAAAATCAGAATGTTCATAATAATAATTCTCTAATCAGAATATTCTATTATAATTTTATCTAGGTTATAAAAATATTATTTTAGTCTAATANTAAAAGATTGTAAGATTATTAGTGAATGAGTGTGAAACTTCAAAGTAATATTCTAGAGTTTAATAATAATTAAGTTGAATTTCAAAATTTCTACCAAGTTTTTCCTCCATTCACACAACACAAAACTAATATGTAATTGACCCATAGTTGACTCCTTTTGGAATTTAGAATTTAGTGGATTTTGAACAACTCGTAGTTGTGACGTGCAGAATAGTTTATAAACTAAGATGGATCATGACAGACACGAGAATTAATTAATTAATTATCATTAAATTAAACTAATCTTGGCGTCCATACCAAGGTCGTTAATTAACTTTATTATATATTCTTTAATATATAGTTTTTCCTTTTAGTAGTATATATCTTGTTTTGATTATATATAATATATAATATAAGATGATCTAATCAAGTGTATTACTTGGTGACAATTGTTATGCAAATTGGAATGTAATTTCTTGGAAGAAAGATGCTAGCTAGTTGACAAAATTAAGTTTATAGTAACTTCATTTATGTAAATGCCAAACGATTGAGTTCTTTTGTATAAATTAATATCTATTTAACTAAAGTAACTAAATAAAAACTTATTTATTGGTATAAATTTATGAATAAATCTCCCTACATATTGTCGTGTTGATATTTTTGTTTTTTAAATTCAAGATTTATATCATTGATGACAAAAACACACAATTTTTTTTTTAACAATTCTTATGAGAGATAAGTAGCAAATTTTTTCTCATAATGTTTGGCATAAAAAATGGATATTTGGATTTTAAAAAATCAGAATGTTCATAATAATAATTCTCTAATCAGAATATTCTATTATAATTTTATCTAGGTTATAAAAATATTATTTTAGTCTAATATAATGAATGAATGCATACATATAGCCATATATTTAAAAACTATGGATTAGTTGATGGAATAAACAGAAAAAAAATAAAAAAAATAAATAACATAACATATACACAATAAAAAAGACTCATATGATTTGATAACAACATGAAGTCAAAAAAGTTTTTCTACTCTTAATAGACAAAATTTATGTTACTGACTTTGAGATAAAACGTGATAAAAGGATTTCAGGATCCAACAACCATTCAACCAATAAGGAACCGCCACATCAGTATGTGTGACATACATAAGCTCCTTCATTGGATGTTTAAAATTCATAGAATTTCTCCTATTATGCGTGTGAAATTATTTAAAAGCATATACTAAATAATTTTCTTGGTCAATGTTGGTCCACTAATTAGTGTCTAAAGAACCCACTAGTGTTGTGACATCAATCTTTGCAAGATTTTCTCCCCCTCCACCATTAATGTTTTATGTGAAATCCTCACCTCACAAATCACAAGTCAAGGTCAACCTAACAGACGACCTAACTATTTAAACCCCCCCTAAGGATTTAGGTCATCTCGTTCCAAGTCCAACGGTTTAAAATACTGGGATATACCCCCTCCAATGTTACATACATCGAACTGATCGAAGAGAAATATACTGTTAATGGGCATAACCGACATTTTGTGCATAGGTATTAAATGTTAAATGTATACATTTTTTTAACATTTTAAAAACGATTTGACAAATCGCTTCCAACTTCCCTTTATATCCGTTAGATTGAAATAAATCTATGACTATGAATTTATGTTTAAGGGTATTATTGTCATTTTAATTTTCGTTACCAGTATTTGTGACTAATATATTTTAAGACCAGGGAAGTTTCCTAGTATTCTTAACGAAAGAACTATGAAGGCTTTAGCCACCCAGCTCCTGGAACCTTTCTAGCTAGAGTCTTTGAACCGACTGGTCCAACAAGGACTAAAATGCAAAGAATCAAAAGTGTTGCTTGCATGGAAACCAAGAAGACTTGACCTAGTCTTAACCCACACCACAAGCAAAGCACCAAAAACATATACATACAATAAACCTCTCTATTTATATCTCTCTATAGAAAGAGGTAAACATTATTGTTTCATTCTTTGTTCTTTCCTTCTTGAACTCATCTCCCAAAGCCTCAAGTTTTGCATATTTATAAAACAGCTGTTGAAAGAGAGAGAGAGAGGAGGTGGAAATTTCAGCCATGGGAGTTGGAGGAGGAGTTGCAGAGATGCAATATGTGAAGGCGAAGACTTCAGTGTGGTGGGATGTAGAGAATTGTCAGGTGCCAAAAGGGTGTGACCCTCATGCAATTGCTCAGAATATTAGTTCTGCCATTGCTAAGTTGAATTACTGTGGACCTTTGTCCATTTCTGCCTATGGTGACACCAATCGGATCCCTCAATCTGTGCAGCATGCCCTCTCCAGCACTGGCATCTCCCTCAACCAAGTCCCTGCTGGTACTTCTTTCACCATATTTACCATCTTTTATCCCTACTTTTCTTGCTTTTAACGTTTGGTTATCATCGTCGTTCATTGTGATACTTACCTTCTAGATATATTGCTCAGTGGATGAAGTGAAGGTGAGGTTTAGAATCTTATACCTCTAGACAATTGGATGAGAAAGGACAGACTTGTTAAGGAGCGACACTCACGAAATCGAAGTTATAAATTTAGCTTAGTTTTCTGTTTTGACCAGGTTGTATTTGTATTAACATTTCTAGATTTGATTTCACTCACTTAATTTTCCTTGAATTATATTAAGCGACCTAACCTGCCTCCCCTAAAATCAATTCCTAGTTTGTCCATGAATCTGATATAGTACCTAATTTCTATTTTATTTTGAGCAATTATTTTTTCTGGGTTGCAGATTTTCATGATATTCAATGAATATTTATGGGTTGTTTTGGTTATTGAGCAGGTATTAAGGATGCAAGTGACAAAAAAATTCTTGTGGACCTGTTGTTCTGGGCAGTGGACAATCCTGCACCTGCAAATATAATGTTAATTTCTGGAGATAGAGACTTCTCCAATGCTCTCCATCAATTAAGGATGAGAAGATACAACATTCTTCTTGCTCAGCCTCAGAAAGCCTCTGCTCCTCTTCTCGCAGCGGCGAAGAGCATTTGGCTCTGGACAAGTCTTGTGACTGGAGGCCCTCCATTAACAGATAAAATTGGTAACAAAATTTCAGTCCCTAATGCTATGCCTTTTGTTCATTTAAAAGTTCCCCAATTGGGAAATCCTGATGAGAAATTTAGAAATAGTGCACTAGTTGAGATCCTGGAAGATCAGAAACCTGTAAATTATCACCACCCTGGTACTAATAATAATCCGAAGAGTTCCCTGATGGGGCCTCCCCCGGACGGATTTGCTCCTTTCAATCTTGTCCAGAATGGTTACAGAAATCATTATCCACCACAGCCTTTAAGGCCAAACAATCTCCCTAATCAACCTCCTAGTTCTGTCCAAAAAGGTAGTGGAGACACCAAATTTGATCCTATTAGCATGAATCCGAAGCCTGCATCTTTAAGTAAGTCACAAAATGGACATATAGAGCATAGGAAGCTGTCGTTTTCTTCACCAATGAACTCGATTAACATTCCTAGTAGTGTCATATGGGGGACGCCAGGGTGTCCAAAACCTTCTGATTATGTCCAAAGCCTTATAGGTGTGGTGTTACTAGCATTGAACTCCTTGAAAACAGAAAAGATAATGCCGACTGAAGGTAACATAGTCGACTGCATTCGATATGGGGATCCGAAGCATAGGAATATTGACATTAAAAAGGCCTTGGAAAATGCTGTTGATCAGCAGATGGTAGTGAAGCAGAACATTGGAGCTATGAACTTGTATGTTGGTAAGAATGAGAAACTCTGGAAATGTGTGAATCCTATTGCCGGTAATCCTATGCGAATCTCGGAAATGACTTGGGAAAGAATTAAAAAGTTTATGGTATCTCCCGGAGGGCAATCTGCAGTAATGGCTTCTGAATGCAGGTAATTTTCCTTTGCCTTTTTAGCCTTATTTATTTAGTTTATAGGATTTGTAATTGGACTATTTTTTATTCTGGTATGTGTGCTTTTGCATTTTTTGTTTATAGGTATGAAGCCGGTACTATTTTGAAGAAAATGTGCTTGAAAGAGTTTACATTGGGTGACATACTTCAGATATTGAACATGGTAATTACCATAAAGAAATGGATTGTTCATAATCAAACAGGATGGCAACCGATTAACATTGCTGTTGCAGAGCTTAACGCTGAATTAGACACTATATCTGGTTCATAAAGATTCAATTTATCTATCCGTGGTAAGGGAAAGGGACCTCTTGACAGTTTGAAAGGTACTAAGTATAAATAGATAGATGATTTGTTGCAATAAGGTCAGTAAACCAAAAAGGCTCTCATTCCCAAGACTCATTGTGTAGATTTACTAGTGATGAAGATTGTTACACATTATGGTCATTGTTTAGATTTCCGATTCGCAGCGAAGTTTCAAGTGAAAAATTGATCGTTGGTTGCATCTTCTGGATTCTACTGACAGTTGCAAGGATGTATCCGTTGTCTCTGAATTTCGATGAAACATATTTCTGCAGAAAGTTTTCCTACCTCTCATATAGTTCATGACGCCGTAAGAACTCTAAATGAAAGGCCTAATTTAAGAGTGGAAATTAGTTTTTTTACAGTGGTTATATATTCAAGAAGAGGCAAGAGCTTTGGTTACTTTGCAGAGACACAAATCACAGAATTTTATAAAGAAAACATCCAAACGTAATTAGATAACCATAGAAAATGTTCTGGTGGAAGCTACTCATTCTCCTATGACCACATCAAACTATGAAGATATCAAGATGAGTCGTGCGAAGATTGCGCAATGCTGTAAAGTTCATCTGCGAACATATGTTGAATCAACGATCGAGTCTTTGTTCTTCTTACTTTCGGGTATTCTCAGAATAAACGGATTTGTGAATTCATCCCTCTGCAGCATCAGTTTAGCTGTTGTCAATGTATTTGCTGTATTTCTTTGAAAGTTTTATGGTTTCAGCCCTTGAGAAACCACTTGTCCCTTGACTATAAACCTTAAAGTGCAGTCTCTTGTATGCAAAATTTGATAAAATAATTATAATAAAGTGTTTATTTCTTATTTTTGCCCCATTGGAAACTATTTTCATTATTGTGTTTTGACTTCTGTTTGTGTTAATTCGCTCTCAGTTTTATGGTATTCGAGCTTGAGAAAAATAGCAAATTTGGTGTTGATCTATCATCTATAGTGTTACTTCTTGCACTCAAATTATTAAATTACCAAATGTAAAACTGAAAGGCATTCTTGTAATGTAAAGAGACAATTAGTACCATCATATCACGCTATCAGTTAATATATAATATTATCAAAGACAAGAGTTTCATACCGTAAATACTAGAATATTCTCTGTTTGGTTCACTATTTTGGGAGTTTTTAGAATAGTTTTTTAGAAAAAAGTTAAGTAGTATTCTGAGAAGTTTTTTGTACATTTTTTAATAGCATTTTCTGAAAATATTTAGATTATTTTTAACCCACAAGATTTGTTAATTTAACTAAACACCTCCAATAATAAAAGTTTATAAATTGACAAAAACACCTCCACCCACCCTCATTTGCTAGATTTCGGCCACCACCATCGGAAGGTGGCTGGAATCTGCTGTAATGGCGAACTACTGGCTGGATATGGCCTAGAGCTTCTTGCAATGTTGGGTCCCCGATAGATCATACCCACCAATATATCGTTGTCCGACTAGACTTGTTGGATCTGATTGTTTTGTTTGCTCGGATTGTTGCGAGCTTGATTCTCTCTTACATACTCCTTTAGATGCCCTTTCTTGATCAAATCTTCAATGGTATCTTTCAAAGCTCGGCACTCATTTGTATTATGCTCGATATCTTTGTGGAACCTACAATACTTCTTACAGTCTCTAACCTCGCGGGAGACTTTATAGATGTGAGCCATATCTTGTATCAGGGGAGTATACTTCGCATACCGAGAAAAAGACTATCTCTCCCAATAAGGACTTATAAGTTGCCTTTTTTGGTACCTGTTTTGATTCCTGTCACCTCGGTCTTGGCCTCTCCTTTTCTTTGACGGGCTGTCTTGCTATTGGTCGGGGGCTCTTCTTGAGGAACTATCGGCTAAGGCTGCTAGTGAGCTCTCAACATTCTGATGTTTGGCCGCCATTTGATAGAATTTAGCCAAACTGATGTAGTCTTCACTTTGGAGTTCTTTCCATAACTCCGTTTGTAGCCTTATCCCAATGATCAATAAGGTCCAAATTGATTCTTTGGGAGCGTCCACAACTTTGGACTGCTCGTTCTAGAGCCTCACTAAATACGAGGTCAGAGTTTTATCTTTCCTTTGATGAATGTTACTCAGATAACTGAGCGACATGGCGAACTGTCTCCTCGCTTGGAATTGTTGGAGATAGAGCGAGGAGAACTTTTGCCATGACTGGATTGAGTTTGCCTTCAGCCTTTTATACCACCTCTTGGCATCTCCTACCACCAACACGTCACCAAGTTAGAGACCCAATGTAATTCCATCAGGTCATTGAAAGTATCGAGGTGGTATCTAGGATCTCCTTTTTTGTCAAACTTGTTTTTGGGTGTCTTGAATCCCTAGGGAAGCAGTGCCTGGCAGATTTCTTTTGTAAATGGAGAGCTTACTATCTCTTCCTTAAATTGTTTTGGCGGGCTCTTAGATCATCGAGTATTCTTTGCACCCGATCTAAATCCTCATTATGAGGAGAATTCTGATTGCGAGCTTTGTTCAACCTTACCACAAGCAGATGAGTCTGGAGATCAGTCGCTTATGAGCCTACTTTGTCATGCACACTAGTGTGTGAGGTGGAGTCATGATGGCTGGGATGGTAGGTGCTGTCATGCTCCTTGGTGTGTTGCTCATGACGTTGGTTAAAACTGAAACATCAATTGTTGCTAGATTGGCGTGCATGGCTGACCTCTATGGCTTATGAGGTTTAAGCTCATCTTTGACGTGGGTTAAAACTGGCATGCTGGTGTTAGACATTTTGTCGATTAGGACAAGAATCCCTTTGGCAACCATTGTCCTCATTTTCTCTCGTGGGTTGCTTGTCTAGTCGGCTTCCGGGGTTAACTTGCCCTTGGGATTCACGCTTGTGATAAAAGGTACCCTGCGATGTTGGGGGTGACGGTCGCTCTTTGTTGTCGACGAACCAGATTGGTTGGTGGCAGAGTTATTCTGCCTTGTGAGTGTAACCTTTGTGAAACGTGATTGATCGAGGTTCTGGTTGGCCTACTGCTCGTTTCTTAACTCAGCCACATTCTGTTGCACTACCTGTATAACCAGCGTACTTAACATCTCCATTAGCTGGCCATTCTCGGGATTAGAAATCTCTGCCCCCAGCTAATTTGCTACCTGTTGCACTAATGGTACTGTCAGTCAACCTGGAGCAATGGTCTGATTCACCTCTTGGCGGGTGGCTTCCACATTGTCGTGGTTTCTGGTGGTTGCTTTGGATCTTGTACGGCCATCGAGAATTTCAGGTGACCGGTTGTTCACTGAAATTGCTTATTTTTTGCCAAGAATAAGAGAAGTAGGCAAAGGCCTTTTTTTTAGTGCCAAAATGTTGATACGAAATTCACACCAACCTAAGAGAACCGATTGACCTTGATGGAATCAGAACTGATGTGTGCGTGATTTAATGATAAACTAGCAATGGAATGAACAATATACGTAAGAATGTAAAAAACACCAGATTTTTAAAGTGATTCGGCAAATTAAAACTTGAGCATACGTCCATTGTTATTTTATTGCGTTTGAATGATTACAAGAACAATAAAACTACCTAGAATAATTTGTTAAGCCCTCTCTTATTGTTTTAAGTGGTTTATATACAAGTTTGAAATTAATGGGGAGAGATAAGTTCGGGATTGCAATTAGAGTGGGTTTGCAATCCTGTGATCGTCGTGATCGTGTGCTAAGATTGTGCTACTAGTAGTGTTGATCTTATCCCTTTCAAAATATCTGAGATTGGAGTTTATCTTTGATTTCGTTGAAAAGTTGTTTGGGTTGATCGTTGTGGCGAGCTTCATCTTGGTCGAGTTCACTTTGAATCTAGCTGATCCTGGATTGAGCTTGACCCTGGGTCGAACTATCTCTCAACCAGCTTTCGAAATCAAAATCACATGCAGTATTACACATACAATATTTTTATACAACATTTCTCACACAATTTGATGTGGTAAAGTATAATTGACTGATTTTAAATTAAAAATAAACTTTTACCTAATCATTTTTTGCCACGTCAGATTGTATGAGAAATGTTGTATGTTTAGTATTGCTCTTTTAATTAATGGAAAATTAGTTCTATTTTTTTTTTTTTTTTTTTTTTGGCGCGTGTGTGTTTATGTGTGTAAATGATATTAAACAATTTAAAAGTACCAAACATGTGGTCACAAAGTTTATTAGTTATATTTTTTTATCAAGGAAAGTTCAAAATACTGAAATAGCCAGCAGGTTGTTAGCTTTTTGTGTGTTAATGATATTAGATAATCTTAGAGTGCCTAATCGATGGTCACAATTTGTCTATCTACTATTTTCATTAATGAAAATCTTATTTCAAATAGTGAAAGCTTAAAAAAGACATAGTCTTCACCCATCTTCTTTAAGGGTGAGGCTAAAGAGGAAGAGATCAGTTAATAACGGAATTAAACAACATTACTCATTTAATTTAGATTAAAATCTGAAAATAATATATGTACATATATTTTACATTATTCACCTGCTGTTTGGCTACCCGTGGTGCATTTTATGTTGAGCTTATGTCCTTATTAAAGGATATTATTTCTATACGCTTCCAGTTGACATTGCTTTGATTAAGTTATTTTCTCCATTGGTTCAATTTCTGGTTTACGTCTGTCAACGATTTCTTCTTGTGGGAGACGTATGTTATGAATCACCAATAAAAATGTAGTTGTAGCTTCTTGTATGAATTTGGAGTAAAAATTTGATGTCTAGTCAAGCTGACCAGCATTTCATGTTTTGCCTTCTGTTTTACTATTTTCATTTGTTAATATTTATAGTTGTTAATTGTAGATGAAGATATGGATGATGATCTTTTTCTTGTGCAATTAACTAATCCGAGAAGTGCAGAATCAAGAGACTCCACTAACACCATATTGTGGGATGAAGATGATTTATATTATGTTTTTAAATTTGTAATTTTATGTTTAAGTTGGTATCAGTTTAACATACGGCGGGGAATACTAGGAATCAAAATGGGTAAGTAGAAATAGAAGTTTGGTTTCAGGGGAAACGTTAGAATAAATGAATGTTATGTTAGGGTCTTATTTATTCAGTTTTAGAAGTTGGTATACCGGGGTGTACTTTTTGTTAAGATTAGAAGGTTGATTGATACGGTGCGTTTTGCTGCTTCTTGTAGTATACAAACATTCCGTAACCCTAGCCCCAGGCAGCGTTTATTATCTGGATTGTACGGAGGAAGGGATGAACATGGGAATTCCTTACTGGATATAATCACATTGTTTACTTGTAACATAATCATGAAATGGAGTATTACATTCTTCAATTATAACATAATGATATGATTTATAAACAAGAATACCCTTCTTTTAACTTACAACGGGCCATAAAAATAAAACATCACCTTCTTCTTCATTGTACATTTCCGCCAAGATCGGGAATCGCCTGGTACTCCTTAACTCCACCCAGCCTGCTGATCCATCTCGGGCTCCTCACTCTCTCTAGGGCACAAAAGGCAAGAAGCTCAACTCCATTCTGAGGAAACTCAAATCTACTTACAAGCTCTCCTCAAAAGGGTTTTCTGGTGATCAGAATAAACTCGCTCTCCTCAGCTTAAGGTAATTAGTAACTTTTTGTTCTTCGCTCAAGGTAATTAGTAATTTTAGTAACTTTAAATTCACACAAACTATCAATTGTGAGTTTGATTGTATTCATGAAACTGGTTGTGAACAATTACGTAACAAAAATAAGGGCATTTTTGTATTGAAGAATTACAAAATTAAGGTAAATTACTTTACTTAAATATGAATAAATGTATCTCACCTTACTGTTTGGACCTTCAATGTTCAAATTTATCCATAAAATTCAAGGCCTCAATCATTTGGCTAAAAATTAGAAATTGAACACTTAAATTTAACTAATAGTGAAATACAATTTAAATTCTTCAATACTATAAAAAATTTAAAAAACTAGACAAATTGCCCATAAACAAACAGTAACAGAATAAAAATTTAAGAAATTAAAAGGTTACATATTCAATGAAAACTATTTATGCCAAACATGTATAAGTTAATCTTACATTTATCTCATCCACATTAATCATTTCATATTCCAAACAAAGTCAGCACTACCACCATCGCAATCCCTCTAAACCCCAAAGTCACCCCCACCGCCACAAAACAACCACCACCAAATCACTCACAAATTCAGCCACAAACTCAGCTGCAAACCCACCTATAATTACAAATCTATTTTCTATTGTAGCTTCTACAAATGTTGAGAGAAAAGTAGAAGAGTAAGAAGAGAAAATTTTGCAAGTATTTAACCCAACATAATATTTGATACTCATGCAACTATAATTACTTCTATTTTAGTAGCATCAACTAAACTATAAGTGGTATGCCAATTAGTTTATATTATAATTACTTCTAATCTGTCAGCATCTAACCATAGGTAATTGCAAAAGAGATGCCAATTATTTAATTTTCAAGTTAAAATAGTTCAAAAAACCTTAATATCTTAGTTATATCATGGTTCATTACTTGTATAATAAAAATGATTTGTTCATGAAGTAGGCACTCAATAATCTTGTGAATCAGCTTTGAATTGAAATGTCTATGGACAAGCAAGTGTTGGCTATTGAATCCACTGTTCAGGATGGTAACACTTTTCACCAAGTGCTGGATATTGGATCCAATGTTCAGGATGGTAACACTGCTCAGATGACTAGCGACAACACAGTGAAGGCAAACCATCTAAGTTCTAAATTTTGGGTTCGTTACCAAGCTAAGTTTCATTTTCTTAATAGTGTAATTATTTACTATTTTACTGTGAATAATTTTTCTTTTCCCGTATAGGTTTGCTTGAAATGGAGTCTTCTTATCACACCTATCATCTTGGATGTTATATCTCAGTTCTTCTCTCAGAACAAATTGCGTTTGGAACTAGCTGCTATGGTTGTAGCTATCATAAACCTAATTATAAGCATTGCCGAAATTGTTTGGAAATGTCAAATGGAAAATGTTACCTGGCTGAGAAGGGACAGCTGTTTACCTAACATATGCAGGTTCATTGTCTGTGTCATTGAGTTTATCACGGCGACAATTGTTTATGCACGATATCATTGACATGCAAATAATCCTATATGCATCAGGTAATAATCCTTCACATTTTCTATTTCTTGTAGCTTAATTCTCAGTTAGATTTCCACATCTATATTTACTACTATTATGATTTCGATTCATTTCTATTGTGATTTTGGTTTACGACCTGAATGTACCACTTCTTTGTTTTCTAAAAGCATTCTCTTCTGAATTTGCAACGTTTTGGGAAAGCGTAAACATTTACAAACATTGGCGTAGTTGAGATCCATATTTTTGGAAATTTGTTTACAAAGGGTACAATACAACTGACATAAACTTGATATCAATAGCCATAAAGTTGAGCTATGCTACCATTGGACTTTCAGCTCCCTATCTTTCCAAATGATTTTTTTATAAAAAGGGTTTGGTACAACTGATATCAAACTCAATCACTTGATATAAATTTAAGCTAAAATTTAAGCTATGTTTGGTTCGTGTGAATTTCTGGAAACTATTTCTATTTTTAGAAATTCTAAAACGGTTTCATTTCTTGGTGTCAAACTAGGATCCATAGTCTCAAACTGTCTACATTTTCCTTTTTTAAGGTCTAGAATGACTTTACCACAATACTTAGGCTCTATCCTGTCAAAGGGATTTAATGTTATCTCTAGTTTCTTTTTGAGTCCTAATAACTTTGTACAATACACATTGATTATATACTTGTTTTATTCTATTGTGTGTTTTGAATTGGTTGCTTCAAATATTTCTCGCGTGGATAGATGTATTCTTTCTCATTGGCTCTTCCCTAATTTCTCTTGTCTAGTGTTTTGCCTAGAAATTTAGAGAGTTAGTATTTATTCAGATGTGATAGGGTTGTGTATTGTTTGACTTCTTACATGGATATTCCATAACTTGTTACTACATATATGTTCGTTAAGGTTTTATTAGTATTCTAATTTCATTGATCAAGCTAAAACTATGTTAAAGAGAAAAAGCTAAACAGGTTAGTCCTATAAGAAGATTAATCTAAAACTCTCACCTAGAAAAAGTTCACTATTTTAGGGCTTTGCTTTGGGAGTTCTATGGTGCTAATGTCCTTTCTAATTCTTTTGAATTTTTTTTGGGGGTTGAAGGCCTATACACAGTCTCTAAAGATACCAAGTAATACTACTCTTACAAAGTTTGTATACAAAGTCACGTATACAAAGTGATGTGGAATTACTTATGAATTGACACATCATTACCTTCATTTAATGAGTTGACTTTACATTTTCACTCTCCCAATCATAAAACGACACGTCACTTTGTATACAAGATTTTGTACATACACTTTATAATAGTATTATTCAAACCTCTCTATACCACAGAGTACTATAGCTTGGCGGGGGTAGGAGAAAAATATAGAAGATATAGGTTGAAAATAGAAAAATAAGAAGATGGGAAGGAAAAACAATTCCTTGAAATCAATAAATCATCATCACAATCCAAAATGAAAACAACTAAAGGCATTCTATATGTAGAGGGGAAACCCTAATGCAATAAAAACCTAATCAATATACCAAACAACCTTGACAATTCAAACTCTAAGATAAATAAAATAAATTACTAAATTAATGATGTATCCTTACCTGAGTGTTTTACATCAATTCCTCAACTGAAAAAACTTGACCTCTGATTTGTTACAAAACTAGAAAGATGTTATCAAAGCAGTCACAATTGAATGATTAAAATCTAACATGAAAACTCCACAGCATTCACCTGACATTGCTTTGATAGCACGAACTAGAGCATGAATTATAATCCTGCAACCAAAAAGAAAGCATTAGAGGATCGACATTGCTTAGTATAGCTACAAAAATTCTTCAATACCAAATGAGCTATAAGTCAAGTCTATAGACGTTTAAAATAACAATTTATACAGTTAAAGTCTATGAGAAAGGTAAGAAGGTATAGGTGAATAGGTATACATTTTATGAAGGTGATGCAAACATATGACCAAGTAAAAGGATCAATATTTTAAATGATAACAAGTAGCATCAACAACAGGTTTATGGGTGTTGAAACAAAGATATTTGAGATTTTATAAGTGTTGAAACAAAGATATTAAGCGTGTGTTCGTCATATGCTTGAGCAGATGATTAATATTTGAGCACCTTATAAGGACATTTAGCAAGTTTCAATATAATCATATTCCTACCATTACAACAGAAAACGACATCTTGTATAATTAGTCCAATGTGGGAGTTGCTAGGATGAGAACTAGAAAAGGATTTTCCGCTCTTGGTACGAGCTCAGGGGTTAAGGGTTGTGACTTGAACCTTGGGAAGTTATAGATTGAATGACTACCAGTTTGACAAGTATTCCTAAATGTGTCAAAGGTATCCTAGGGTTAGTAATGTAGCGGAAGAGTTGTGGGGTGATTATTCTCAACAATTAGGCAATACAAAATAACTAGGTCTAAAGAAGACCTTTGAATTAAAATTCTGAATTAAAGAAAAGATAAAATAACTGACTACTATTGTCCTATTTATACTTGTTTAACCCTGATTCTAGACTGAAAACTATTCCTAATATTTTATTAAAATAGGAATCCTAAGTAAAGAAGGAAAACTGATAAAAAACTGAAACCTTTTCCTAATTTAACTGAAATCCAAAACTCTATCCTAATTTGACTGAAATCCTAATTAAACTTGGATGCTCCTGCATCAGTTAGGAAAGTAAATGTAAATTTCTATCTCTAGCGCATTATGAAAGGCATCACATAAGCTCTCAATACAACATATTTTTGCCTCTCAATTGATGCCAACTTTTAACCCATTAATTACCTAGCTGCACTACCCCACGACTCACATCTCACACCTTAACATAAGCTCACCAAATCTCATAATATGATTAGTGAAACTAAAAGCTTTGTTTAATACTAAGAGACTATTTAATACCTATCCCTAAAACAAGTAAGAAGGCATTTTCAATTAAGCTTATCTCATCTCAAAGAGTGATAAGTGATAGCCTAGATGTTCTTGCTATTATTAGACATTTTGCCAATGTTTCTGGCTACAGCCAAACAACTTAAGTTTAACAATTCAAACTTCCCAGTGTCACTCAAAATAATATGAATAATTGATGCCATCAAGAAAACCTTTAGTTTCTAGATTTCTGTGGGTAGTCATAACTATGATTTGGTTGGGCAAACTATAAAGGCGAAAAATCATTTCTACCACCCTCCTTTGGCTCCCTATTTCCTAACGTGTAAGTTGTTCCCTAATGAGAGTTTGTACCAAATGGATGTGACATTGGAGTTTGTACAATACTTACTTGAGATTCTCTAGGTCCACCGAGTCCAAATGGACTGGAGGTTTGAATCAAGTGGAGTCATCAAAAAGATTACAAGTCATTTAGTTTGGTAAACAGCTTACATAAAATAATTGTAAAAATTTTCACATTATGCTTGAAATAGGCGATAAAAGCTACTGCAAGTCTATAGCTTCTTTTTTTTTTTTTTTTTTTTTTTTTGTAATAAGAAGAAAAATAGGAAAATATATATAATAATTTCTTTTACATCAAATCATCCACACTTTTTTTTTTTTTTGGGGGGATAAGAGACAAATTTTGTATTAAGAAGAAAAGTATACAAAGTAATGGACAAGCTAACCAACAAAAAATGGCAAGTTGTCCTAAGACCCATACAAATCCAGAAACTATACAAAGAAAAGTGAACTCAAATCTATAAACAAACGATACCTTAGGCTAGAAATCAAAAAGATCCCTTCTAATTAGACTATTGAAGCTTCCTATCTTTGAATGATAAAGAATGGCACTTCCTTAAATTCTGAAAAAATAGATGCCCATAAAGAAGCCCAAAACTTTACTATTCCACAAAGATGACATCTCTTCTCCATCTACATCTTGAAAAGTTCTTTGTTCTTTTGCAGCCATAAAACCCAAAAAATAGCCATTAACTAGATAATCCAACAAAACACCAGCTTCTATAAGAGGTGCTACATGATTTTCCACTAGAGCCAAATACGAGGAAAGAGGTGCTTCCTAGGACAAATTAATTTCAGTTGCCAGCTTCTCCACAGGCAACTAGCGAATGGGCAGTGAAGAAAAAGATGGCCAATGGTTTCAAAAACATTATTTCATGAGAGGCACCATGTTTATATTTCCAAGAGCTATTGTCCAAGCAAAAAAAATAGTTTTGCTTGGTACTAGCTTTCCAAAATAGCACTTGAGGGTTCAAACATAAAGGTTCTAGAAGACTCTATCGAGTACGGAAATTAGATTTTACAAAAAATAAAAAATGAAAAATAAAAAAATTCTTGACCTCTAGGAGCCACACCATATTATCTTCCTCCATTTCATTAACAGTAACACCCTCCAAAAGTTTGTAAAAATCAGTATACTATTGAGTCTCTTTATCATTTAAATTCTATAGAAATTAAGGTTCCCACCCCACTGAGAAGATGGAGAATTTACCATATTAGCAACTAAAAAGTTCTGCCTAGTTGACACCCTGCATAACTAAGGCAAAAGATCAGAAAAAGCTGCCTCACACATCCATTTATTTTCTCAGTGTAAGATTTTATCTTTGGAGTACAATTTTGGAAAGAAGTTTAGAATTTCCTGCTCAGTGCCTTTCTCACCTATTTATTATGTTTTCATCCCACCCCTAATATACATGTTCCTTTTAAAGGTTTTAAAATTTTTGATGTTGTAATTGGATTTAATGAATTTGTTCATAATTAAATATTGTAGAAGTTACTTTAATTCATTGTTGGATTAAAAACATTATATATATGATTATACTCATTGAGTTAACAACTCACCAATTGTCAGCACTATTTTTGCAGATTTCTGGCATAGCAAGATTGACTGAGTTCTTCTGTGAAGCTTTACAGTTGAGGGAATGGTTGGAATAAGACAATTATATTATTATGTTTTCATTGATGGACTTGAATTGAAGGTTTTAGACTACGAATGTTCAGGATTGAATATTACTATTGTCCAGGTTTGAGCACTTAAAACATTATTATGGTATGCTTTTGAACCGTTCTCTTTCAAGGATAAAGTGGTTTGGAATAACAACTTTTGCAGGTCGATGTTTTATTAAGTACATTTTAATTATGGAGAATTTTGAATTATAATTCTAAGGTTAGTAACATTCAAGCCCTGCATGTGGTTGTCTCTTGGCAGGTCTAAGGTGTTACATTACTTCTACAGTCCTCAAAGTAATTTGAGTTCTTTTAATTTTTTGAAATACAAATTATATCTTAATAGAATAAGCCATCTATTTAATGTTATATAAATTCAGAAAAAACTATTTACATCCTAGTTCCCTACCCATATAGATTTAACTATTTTGATCTTATCTCATTTGAAAATATTTGCTCAACTAATTAAATTTTCTCATTTTAAGAAAATAAAAGCGTTTTCACCTTGTTTTTCATTTTAGAAGAGAACCTGGCATATACACTCAAACGATAATAGTAGATTTTTTTAATTTAATTTTATTTTTTTGGTTGTGGCTAGAACTACTACATATTAGTATGATGCATTGATGCAAAAAAAGGAAAAATAACCTACACTAATAAATCAACTTCATATGTTACTTAATCATGAGGAACTCAAGAAATAGGAAAAAATGAGCTTACCTTGGTGTAGCATGAACTTCTAGTGCTCTCCAAATAGTGGCTAATGTATGTGTGAAAAGAACAAAATATACATACTTCCCATAGCAACCTGTGACCACAATTAGATCAAGTTATGTACTAGTATAACAACATAAGTTCTAAATGAATTGCAAGCTGCTAGTAAATAAAAATCATGAAATGAATATTAAATTGCAAATTATACTTTCTATATACAATGAACATGTTCTTAGGTAGGCTAAAGTATTGTGCTATTAAAGAAAAAACAAGGCACAAAAGATTATAGACTAAAACAAAGGAAAAGAGGATAACAAGCAACCTAGGCCAAGATATTGTCATTATGTGTGCATAAGCAATCAGGACATTATGTTCAATAGCAGAAAACAACTCCAACAACAAGAATTCACCAAAACTTCCAGTAACTCATACCATGTTCAAACTCTACACATAGACAAGTAAAAGAGAAGCACAGTAAGGATAAGTTTTAGATGGTCATAAACTTGCTTCTTTAAAGATGAGCACTTGTTCATATATAAGTGGAACATTTTTTTGGAGACTTTGATGCAATGAGAAAATTTTACAAAATAAAAAAGGATTATACACACTTATCAGGTAGAATACAATGAGCCTTGTCACGGTAATATATATTTGATATAAAAATAAAATTTGGAATAAATAATACAATAAAGTAACAAAAACGAAAAAGGCAAAAAGAGTGGAGCTCAACTTTAAGGTAAAATCACAGGATAGAAATATGTGAGTTTGGAATTAATAATATCATAACATCACATTAATGAAAAACACAAAAATGATCATTACTGAAATAGATTTAAAAGTCAGTGGCCATGTTTTCCTACTTCCTTTTGCAGCACCAAAGAAATTGCGATGTAGTGACTCTTTAACTCTAAAATTTCAGGGGCGGATTGATGCTATGGCAGCAGAGTGCGTTATAGCGCCATCATCAGAAAACAGAGAAATATACAACAATCTCTGAAACGGATATCTTCTTCTTGCAGTGAATGTTATTGGCTTCCATTAACATGCGAAAGCAGCCCATGGCAAAAATTGATTCCCTCTACGACAAAATCTCTTTGGACAATGCGCTACACCTCACGTATTTGATGAGACACCCTGCAACAATCACCACAAAACAGCACAAACAACCCAAAATAGCAAAGAAAAGAGTTCACCAAATCAAGGATAAACTGGATTATACATGCACCTCACACTCCCAACGACTTACTGCCCCAAACGCCCCTTATGCCCTTTGTATTGATAGACATTTTTAATGGGAGGTCTATCAGTATTTGACCCAGCTTTTAATCCTCATAATGGGATAACCATAAACCATTTTAAGAGGCTATCATGTAATTTGAGGGAAGGAAGACTAACTTATGAACCCGCAGCGTTGAGCACAAGAATGATACGTTAACAGTGACATCATTCGGAGGCCTTTTCTAGATGACAAATTTCGGCAGCGTTTTCTAGATTAGAGGATTTGTGCTTACAAAAGTAGTGGTTTACCAAATGCTTTGATTGATCAAATCATTCATCTCATTGGTACTTATTTTAATAGCATATTATTTACATCCATAAGATTTGGACCTGTATCAATTTGAAAATATTAAAACACCCTAATATAAGTATTAGTTTCAAAGCACAACGAAATGAAAGAGCACTAAAAGACAGACAAAAAAAGTTGAGAATATTAATAATATCAACATACCGCGGTTGAGATAACGCAGAAAGTACTTTCGCGATCTGTACCAGGTGCAAGAAGAGGGGGAAGCCTCTGCAGACCGAAAGAAGATTTGTAATTTGCCCTTTAAAAGATGAAGAAGCTAGATCGATAGAGAACTGAAAATTTTTAAGAGAAAGAACAGATCTGCCTGGCGAAGGATACGGTAAAACAGTCAAGAGAGAAAACTAGAAAGATGAACCACTCTCCGTAAACTTCGACTGTAGGGTTGAAGGGTATTGATTCTTGAATGAACAAATGATACAATCACCTAAAAATAATTACTGAATTGTTACACGTGGCACTATCATCATTGTTGATTAATTATAAATTTTATTTTTAAAAAAAGGAGATGGTGCCACGTTTGTTGGATGCATGAATTTAGTATATATTTTTGGTAACTATAGTATTGCTCCGATTTGAAACTGTTCTCAGAGTCTGATTTGGACCACATATGACATCAATTTCAATTGGACCACATATATTACTTCAATATTCAATTGGACCACATATAACATCAATATTCAACTGGACCCATATATGTTAACATCAATATTCAACTGGATCACATATAACATTAATATTCAACTGGACCACATATATGTTAACATCAATATTCAACTGGACCACACATAACATCAATATTCAACTGGACCACATATATGTTAACATCAATATTCAACTGGACCACATATAACATCAAAAATCAACTGGACCACATATATGTTAACATCAATATTCAACTGGACCACAAATAGCATCAATATTCAACTGGACCACATATATGTTAACATCAATATTCAACTGGACCACATATAACATCAATATTCAACTGGACCACATATATGTTAACATCAATATTCAACAGGGTCCAAATATATGTTAACTATAGCATTGCTCCGATTTTGAGCGACTGCAAATTGCTAAACATGCTATGTACAGTAAAAGCCTGTTTAATATTGATGTTAACCTTGCACTCACCCGGCGGATTTAATAAATGACGAGTGGGACCACGGCCCCCACTCAATTTTTTAAGAATTTCAGATTTTTTATTTCTATTTATATTTATTTAAATTTTATCCTTATAAATCTTTAAGATTTTGAGAACGGAATAGTCAGTGTACATGGTAAGTTTGGATTTTGTTTTTGTAAAACCCGTTTTTAATTCTAATATATTTATTACATATTTTTTGTGATTTTTATTTTTATGCAAGGGGATCTATTAGTTTTTAAAAATTTTATTGGGAGTGAAAATGAAAGGAATAAGAGCTGTTAGGTGTACACGTAATGGTTTAAATCATGAACGAAGGGATGAAGCATGTAATCTATTTAGGGGTGAAAATCAAGTCGAGCCACTCGCGAGCCACTCAAACTATACTTGCTGTTGGCTTGAACTCGACCCCGCATTAGTCGAGTCGAGTTCGAGTAGTTAATCGAGTAAAACTCGACCCTATATTCACGAGTATTTCCAAGCTCGATTGTTAACTTGACAGTTTTTAAAGTAATGGGGGTCATAGTAATTTAAAAGTTATAAAATTTGCAAATCCACCCCTGTTAGATGAGCTTGAAATCAAGTTCGAAAAAACTTGATTATACGAACTTGAATTCGAACTCGATTTCCAATTTCAAGTACTGAGTTCGAGTTTGAACTTGATTTCTTAGGTTCGATCAGGCTTGAACTCGAACTCGAACTCGGTACTATAGAGATCGAGTTGAGTTCGATTTACCAAATACTCAACTTGATTCGATTTCACCCCTAAATCTATTAGATGTAATCTATTCCTTTGATTTTGCATTTAGCTTGCATATGATGAAAAATATATTGGCAATTACTAATGAGTTGTCACAAGCATTGCAGAGAAAATATCAAGACATTATAAATGTTATGACCCTAGTCAAAGTCTTCAAAACAATGGTTCCAATTGTTAAGAGATGAAGGATGAAAATCTTTGTTGAGTGAAATTTCTTCATTTTGCCAAAAACATAATATTTCAATTTTGAATATGGATGATATGTTTGCAATTCGAAGGCGGCCACAACGAAGAGTTGAGCACATAAAAAATTTGCATTACTATCAAGTTGAATTGTTTTATACAGTGATAGATATGTAACTTCAAGAACTTAACACTCATTTCACTAAGGTTAGTACTGAGCTGCTTCTTTGTATGACATGTTTAGATCCAAGTATTTCATTCTCTACTTTTGACAAGCATAAGTTGATCTGTTTTGCCCAATTTTATCCAACAGATTTTTCTACACTTGAGTTGATGGTACTTGAGAACCATACTAGGACTTGTGTTATTGACAGACGTTCTTATAATGAATTTTGCTGAGTTAGAAAGAATTGGTGATTTAGCTAAGATTTTAATTCAGTTTAAAAAATACATTTTGTATCCGTTGGTGTATAAACTTGTGAAACTTGCATTGGTTTAACTAGTTGCAATTGTAATCGTTGAAATGACTTTTTCTGCAATGAATTTTGTATAAAGTTAGTTACGCAATCAAATGAGAAATTAATGGATGAATGATTGCTTAGTCACCTATATTGAGAAAGATGTATTTGATACAGCTGATGATGAGATAATTATCCAACGTTTTCAGAATATGAAAACGCATTGAGGACAATTATAGAATTTTTTTTTTTTATTTTTACAAAGTAATTCTGTTTTTTTTAAGATATTTATTTGTATTTTGTAACTTTTTGTTGAAGCTCATCATAATGAAAAAAAAAAAAAAGTATGAATATGATTGGTTTTAATTTTTTTTATTTTTTGCCCCCATCGAGTGAAATTCCTGGATCCGCCACTGCGTGAAGTAAGTCTAAAATAAAAAATAAAAAATAAAATCAAATGTAAAATCCCATTTTAGCAAACGAAATTTTGCTTACCCTAATCCCAAATTTCAAAACCTAAATTTTGAGTTCTCTCCCAAATAATATCAATCCCTAAACCCAAATTATAAACTCTAAATTTTGAATTCTCTTCCATGTGCTTACTATCCAGTCTTCAAAACTGTATATAGCAAATCTCTGACATTTAGATTAAAATATTTTATTTCTCATTGCCCTAACTGCGCCCATTTTTCTCTTTTGTTCTCCTTTGGAGTCATTGAATCGAATCAAAAATTGATTTTTGTGATTGGGCAATATGAGTTCAGAATCACAATCACAATGACAATCACCATCTCCTCCTCCTCGGCGACGGTTATCGTGCATAAAGTGTTTCAACGCTCTTGGGTTCTACTGTTCACCTATTGATCAGATGCTTCTCTTATAGACTTTTTAATTCTCAAAACCAAACCAGCGTCTTGCTTTGAGACAATAAATAATTCTCCTTTTCCATCCCCATTTTCATTTTACTTTAAATAATTTCTACATACTTTTGATGGCCTTGGTTCATCTTCTATCTATTAAGCTATTTACTTTGTATTTGTTTTTGGGATCGATTCTTCTTTTACTCTATTTTTATGGCATTGCTTGTTTTTAAGTTACAAAATTTTACAACATGAATCCCTAAACTACCTCTTTTTTTTTTGTTGTCACTCTTCAAATATTCTCATTTACATTTAAAACCCGCCAACAACTTTATTAACACTGGGTATTGGGTAGGTTGTCATAATTAAATTAAGGCCACATACCCAAGGTTTTTCAAAAAGACAGTTAGTACCCACCCAAAAGGTTTTGAAATGATAAATAGGTACCTTCCGTCATGTTCATGTTAGTAATTTTCATTTAATAATAGTGAAAAGACTAGAATGCCCTTCAAAGTTTTATATTTTAGTTTTTTATAAATTTAAAAATTTCTAAAAAGCCCCCTAGGTTTGCTAATTTAACTAAATACCCCATATATAAAAATTTTGTCAAATAACAAAAACACCCTCACCACCCGCAGTGCAGATTCCGACCACCACCACCGCCAAAATCTGGTCGGAAAATTGCGTTACAACACAGACCCGTCGAGTCTGTGTCGTAACGCGTCGATATGGCCTTTTCGGCAATATCTACGTTCAGATCTAGACTCTTGAAATCGAAAAAAAAAACCCCAAATCTGACAAACCCTAATTTTAGAATTTGTCAAGAAGACCAAACGATTTCTAACCCTAAATCCCCTTAGAACTTTCCAGCTCTGATACCACTGTTATAACCTAAGCCTAACAAACAAATTCGCAACACAAGATTAAAGATCAAAGAATCACACACACACCACAAGGCACGATTTTACCGTGGTTCGTCTATCTAATCTTGGATAGACTACATCCACGTTGAGCTTCGAAACACGGACACTCACAGCACTAAGAAGATATTCAACGATTACAAGAAGGACAAGACTACAAATCTGCCGAAACAGACTAACGCCCAACCAAGGCCTAATCACTCAAGAATCTCTCAATAATCTGCAAGAAAATAGAGGACAAACACAAGCCTCTGGAAGGAAACGCAACCCTCTCTCACAATCAACCAGATTACACCTAGAAAGATTTAGCAGAAAACCAACCCCAATATTTTC